TTATCTCTCGTTTCTCTTCTCATTCATCGCTCATCCAATATAAATGGCCTCATCTTTTTCCCTCAACTGTTTTTTTTTATATCAAGGTTTTCTATGATTTATATATGTAAAATTAGTTGTTTCAACTTTGACAGATGGTTATAGGAAAACCACGAATGGCACAAATATAATTTATTACCTTTTATAGCCCATATATTTAGCTTTAATTTGAGTATTCAGTCATCGTTCTGCTATTTATGGTTGTCGAATTATACGAATTAATGTAAAAACATTGCTTTTTCGAAGGTTTATGTTTAACAGCTCATTGCAGAAAATCCACAAATACGAGTATTAGCATGTATACATCTGGCTTTAATTGAGGTTTTAAATGAAAACACACATACTTAACGTTTTATACGTAATAGAGAAACGACGGTTTCTCGTTTTTTTCAGTGTATTTGTTTTTTTGTGCATTTCTCGACAACCCCTGAAGATAATTACTTCATAGACCACTCGTATGAAAGCTGAATATCTGACCTTTCAAACGCGCCTACATTCATCGTAGTGCTATCATCGAGTCGCCTGTTATAAGCCGAAGAATATGTTTTTCTCGTTTTTTATTCAGTTTTTACAGTTTTTCGTGATTTTCTCGACAAATCCTTAAGATAGTTACATCATCGACCACTCGTATGAAAGCTGAATATTTTGTCTTTCCAACAAGCCTACATACATCTTCGTGCTGTCATCCAGTCGCCTGCTATGAGCTGTAGAAATTGAAAAAAAAAACACATACTTAACGTTTTATACGTAACAGAGAAACGACGGTTTTCTCGTTTTTTTTTCAGTGTTTTTGGTTTTTCGTGCATTTCTCGACAACCCCTGAAGATAATTACATCATTGACCACTCGTATGAAAGCTGAATATCTCACCTTTCCAACGCGCCTACATTCATCTTAGTGCTATCATCAAGTCGCCTGTTATAAGCCAAAGAATATGTTTTTCTCGTTTTTTATTCAGTTTTTACAGTTTTTCGTGATTTTCTCGACAACTCCATAAGATAATTTTATCATCGACAACTCGTATGAAAGCTGAAAATCTCACCTTTCCAACGCACCTACATACATCTTTGTAGTTTCATCGAGTCGCCTAGTATAAGCTGAAGAACATTGTTTTCTTGTTTTTATGCAGTTTTTACAGTTTTTTGTGATTTTCTCTACAACCCCTTAAGGTAATTACATCATCGACCACTCGTATGAAAGCTGAATATTTTACCTTTCCAACAAGCCTACATACATCTTCGTGCTGTAATCGAGTCGCCTGCTATAAGCTGTAGAAATTGAATAAAAAACACATACTTAACGTTTTATACGTAACGGAGAAACGACGGTTTTCTCGTTTTTTTTTCAGTGTTTTTGGTTTTTCATGAATTTCTCGACAACCCCTAAAGGTAATTTCATCATCAACCACTCGTATGAAAGCTGAATATCTCACCTTTCCAACGCGTCTACATACATTTTTGTAGT